CTTCTCCCTGGTTACATCTTTGGGTGAATGTGGGCATGAATTTTAAAAATTAATATCTTTTGTTTTAACATTATCCTAATTCCCAAAGACATTCCCTCTCCCTTACCCAGAGAGTTACTCTTTATAACAAAGAATAAGAAAGAGAAGAAAGAAACTGAAATTCAGTAAAACTAACCAACATATCAGAAAAATCTGACAGTATATGAATTGTTCTGCACCCATAGACCACCACCTGTGCAAAGCAGGTAGTGAGATGTATTTTCACAGTTCTTTTTCAGGACCAAGTTTCGTCCTTATAATGATACAGTATCAAGTTTTTTGTTGATGTTACTGCTGCTGCTGTTGGTTCTGTTTTTCCTTTCCATTTATATCATTGTGTATATTGTTTTTGTTTTTTTTTTTTTGTTCCTCCTTACTTTACTCTGTATCATACAAACAAATTTATTTCACAAAAGCTTTCCAATCTTCTCTGAATTCTCTTTATTCATTATTCCCTGCAATAAACCATTACATTGATAATAATAATGATAAGTAGGATTTATTTAGCACTTCAAAGTTTACAAAGCACTTTAGGCACAATTGCATGTGATCTTCACCTTGTGAAGTTCATGCTGTTATTATTTCCAGTTCAAAGATGAAGAAACTGGAGCTGAGAGAGTTTAAGGGATTTTCCCAGCGTCATTCAGCTAGTAGGTATCAAAGGCAAGTTTCGAACTTAGGTCTTCCTGAGTACAAGTCCAGTGCTCATGTACCACAACTTGTGTAGCTGTTCCCCAATTGACGATCATTTACAGTGTTTCCTATTCTCTGCTACTAAACAAAAAATGCTGCTATAAATGTTTCAGTGCATGTGGGACATTTATTTTTGTCTTTGTTCTCCTTGGGTTGTATGTCTAGCAGTGAGATCCCTGTATCAAAAACTATGAAAATGTTGGTCATTTTCTTAACTCTTCAAACATTGAATTCATTATTGTCTGTCTTTGCAAAGCTGGAACATTAGCTTTCCATTGGACTTTCCAGTATCTGGGTCAGCTTTGTACATTGGGCACTATTCCCTTTTGCAATACTCTATTTTTCATTATCTCTAATTTCATCTTTGTAGCTCCCCTACCCTGAACACACCTGGTTCTTAAGAGTTACTTATAGACATTCTAAGTTCTGATGTTGGTTTTCTCTTCTGCTTTGCTTGATAAGTGCTGGACTTTGAATCAAGAGTACCATGTTCAACCCTAGCCTCTGCCATTAGCTGGTTTCATGACCCTCTGCAAGTCATTCAAACACTTTTCACCTCAGTTTCTTCATCTTTCCATTGAGATAATAATCCTTGCCCAAACTATCTCTTAAAGTTAGAAGGGAAGTGCTTTTTCAGCAGAACATCTAGCAGGGTACAAACACTAAGAGTTAAGGGAGATGTGTGTTCAATCCTGTCTGTTACACTTCCTAGCCAGTAAAAAAGAAAAAGTCCCATGGAACCTTGGACGAGTTCTTTCGATCTCTCTGGATCTTACTTCACTCACTTGCAAAATGGAGGTGATACAAACCTCAAAGATCCAGCAAGATTAATATTTAGTGAGACAATGTGTTTTGAAAACCTTAAATTCTTATAGTGGTACTTGCTGTATTATTAAATGCTTAAGAAATGTCACCTCTTATTGTTAATGTTAATAAGGACATGGAAAGGACCTTGATGCGGTGGATAGAAAGCCAGTCTTAGAGTCAGGAAAACACAAGTTCAAGTCCTTCTTCTTGCCAGAGAGGCTGTGTGGCTATGGGCAACTTAATTAACTTCTCAGTTCCCCTAAGCAGTTTTCTAAGCGTATACATTAGAGCCAAATTCAGCAGTAGAATTTTACAATGTGGGAGTTAAAATGATATCACTATTGCAGATTGATTTTTTTTAAAATAATGATGATAACAATAATAAACATAGCTAACCCAAAGAACCACTCTATCCCAGGTTGTTTTTAAAGTCTCTCCTTTCCGTTGTTTGTAAAACATATAAATTAATTTCTTAGAGTATTTGTGGTAACAGAATTCACTCACAATGGAGCAAGATGGTTTATGAAATTTTAAATATTTGAAATTCAAGGGGACTGTGTACCCAAAGAGCTAATGAATTTGTATCCTTAGAATACATCTGGGTGGGGATGGGAGGAGTGCCTACGCTAGAAGTGAGGAAACCTAGAAAGATGGAGAAGCATTCTCAGAGAAGCAACAACTAGCATGTATATATAGGAAGTCATGTGGGGAGGGGTGTCTAGGGGTAGGGCCACGGGTGCTTAGGCAAGATTACAGACTTCATGCACAAACTTTTTTTTTTATAAAGAAATTAGATAACTAGATACTAAACTCTTTATTATATCATCAATAATAACCCACAAAAACCAGAGCACTTTAAATTTTAAATAGTCCTTTACTTGCATTGGGGCAGTTAGGTGGCACAGGGGATAGAATGCTGGGCCTGTTGCCAGGAAGATGAATCTTCCTGAGTTCAAATTCATCCCCAGACATTTACTAGCTGTTTGACCCTGGCCAAGTCACTCAACCCTGTTTGTCTCAGTTTCCTCATCTGTAAAATGAACTGGAGAAGAAAATTACAAACCACTCCAGTATCTTTGCCAAAAACAACAACAACAAAACAACCTCCAAATAGGGTCACAAAGAGTCAGACACAACTGAAAAACAGCTTACTTTCATTATCCTGTTTGAGCATAATAACACCCTATTAGGTATAAATTATAGGTATTATTGTTTGCATTTTCTGGATGAGAACATCAAAGAGGTTAAGTGAGTTACATATAGTTACACAGCTAGAAAGTATCAGGGGCAGGCAACTAGGGTGCCACTTCGTGTATCACGTTAAACTTTATCTTCCTGTTTCCAAGTCTAGCATTCTATGCACTCACTATACCATACTACCTCTTTTTTAAAAATTTTCTTTTTAATTTATGGAATAAAACAAGTGTATAAATGAAAAATTGAATTTGAAAATTGTGTAGATAGTGTTTTCAGGATGTTTTCAAGTTTTCAGAGTGTTTTTTTTAAAACATGTCAATATATTATTTATTTTTGACATTCTTTTCTTTTTCAAGTTTGAGTTCCAAATTCTCTCCCTCCCTCTCACCCCTCCCCTACCCACTGAGAAGGCAAGCAATATGATATCAATTATCCATGTGAAATCATGCAAAACATATTTCCATATTAGCTATATTTCAGTAAAAAACAAAAAAAATAAAATGAGATAATTATATTTCAATTTGCAGAGTTCATCAATTCTCTCTCTGGAGGTGGATAGCATTTTTTTCATGAGTCTTTAGTAATTGTCTTGGATCACTGTATTGATCAGAGTAGCTAATTCTTTCACAGTTGATCATCATTACAACTTTGCTGTTACTTTCACAGTGTTTTCATGCTTAATGTTTTTTTTTTTGAGGTAAAAAAAAGGATTTGCAGATCATAAGATGACAGAAAATATATTTGAAATTATTTGTTTCCATACATTCCCCAACCCACCCTGCCCTTTCTTCCCAACCCCCTAAATACTCTGGGTCAAAGAGCTGAAAGTTGTCTACTGTACAGTCTTCTAAATTAAAATCTTGTGATGTGCAAAACAAAATGGCACACACAGCATTAATCTGACATAATTCTACTTCAGAATTTTTCACAGGCATTACCTCTCAAGGGCTTCAGTTTCATAATTCTGATTGAGAGAGATTTTCGGTATCATAGCATTCAAGATCTAAATTGAGTTTTGAAACTAACATCTCCCAATCAGAACAGTGGCAGGTAGTGTTGAAAGATTTGAAGACAATAGTCCATCCTCTCTCACATCACCAAGATAAATGCAAATGAATCTCAAACCAATTTAAATTTCTCAGTTGTTACTAGGAGGCAGCTAGTATATTAATCTGGATCTGAACTATTTTTATGTAATAGGAATGTCTTGTATGTGAATGGAAACCCTCCATTAGTGATATATTATTCAAATTTTCTTTTTAATAAAAATGCAAATGGACATGTTAAATATGTACATAAATTAAAATGATCATAAATTAGGATTAATATCATATTAAATGAATTATAATCCCATCCTCATTAAGATAAAGTAACATTTCAATATTTGTTCTTGTTAATAAAATTAATACAATAAAAGAAAAGTATACGTTTTAAGATTCCATAAATATTTGATGTAACCTGATGATTGAGTTTAAGGGGAAAAAATACAAAATAAAGCATATTGGAATATATCTGGAGTCTTTCTTTGTTATTTAGATAACCCTTTCTTCTTTATTTCAAATGAGAGAAAAAAAAAGTGGCCTGGTTGGAATAAAAAAAGGAACCTCAGGGAAAGTTGTATTTTGAATTTCTAGATGCTACCACAAACTATTTTTGTTTCTTTTCTTGTTCAGGTTTTGAATACCAGGGAAAGAAAATTTTAGCTTTAAGGACTGGTTAAGTAACTGAGCTAAACTCTTTGTATGTGTATTTGAGGAATCATTTCAATTACTAACATAGTTTATGGAGACAACCTTTTGCTACAACACCCAGTGGAATTTTAGACTTTGGCCTGTGTTCCTCTTTCCCAAACAGTGGCAAGTGAAAGTGATTGGAAAAAAGTCTGATATAGTAAAAGTCAGATCAAAGACAATAATGTGAGAAACTGTGACCTAGTTCAGTAGGGATACTAATCAACTATTTGAATGGAATGCTTACTCTTCAAAAGACATTCATATTTAAGGGGAAAAAATTGAAATATATATATACACATATCAACTGTTTTTTAAATAGGCAGGCTCATTAGGTGCTGATGATTATACTTCATTGTGATTAGTATGCATACAAATGCATGGTCTCTTTGTGTACATAAACTGAGATAGGGATTATTGGAACTGAGATTAAAGTACAAAAAAAGGATAACTGAAGAAATGCATGATTAAGTTGCTACAGAGCGAGGCAGGATGCTGCTTCCTCACTAACGAAATACTAATTTGTCATTTTAGCTCCACACTGATTTGGATCCTGGAAGCAAAAAAATCAAGTACATTCTATCAGGAGATGGAGCTGGGACTATCTTTCAGATCAATGACATAACAGGAGATATTCATGCTATAAAAAGACTTGACCGTGAGGAAAAGGCTGAATACACGCTAACAGCTCAAGCAGTCGATTGGGAAACAAACAAACCTCTGGAGCCTCCTTCCGAATTCATTATTAAAGTTCAAGACATCAATGACAATGCACCAGAGTTTCTTAATGGACCATATCATGCTACTGTTCCAGAGATGTCCATTTTGGGTATGTATGCATGGAAGTACAAAGAACTATTAAAAGTCACCCTTTAAAATAGCGTCTTGCATCAGCAAGGGTTTGTTGATGAATAAAAGATATTTATGACTATCTTCTTGCCAATTTGCATTTTCAAATTTCCTTTTTTTTTTTGGGCCCAAGTTCCATTGGCAGCTCAATAGCTTTAGTCCCCCAATAATAGAAGCTGACTAACAGTTATATTAAAACATCTCTCCTGACACAACAATACTTCAATAGGCTGAATTTATATTCTACTCATGGTAGTGTACTTAGAGTATTGTTACTGAGGCGGATTTATCAAGATTTGTTCCAACATGCTAGGTTAATCCTATTGATATTTGCTTGCTGGTTAATTATTTGTTTGTGTATATTCACATGCAGATGTAGCTCTTATACACTTGGAGAAAAAGTCTACATTGAACTGCCATAATCCAAAAAACAGGAGACTGAGCTGGAGACTAGACACAGAAAAGTAGATTAGTCAAAAAACAGCATCTTTAGGCCAGTGACTAGAAGAACTACTTTGTGAGCATCTTTCATATTATTTTACCTTTACTTCAAAATGGCAAGCCAACTTGAGTCCAAAAGTCAAATTAAAGGGAATCCTTTAAGATACATAACAGTAGAATCTATTGATTTCAGAAGTCATTCACATTCAAAATATAAGACAAGTAAATTCGATATGGAACAAATAGCATAATTATAGAAGAGCCCCTTAATGTGTGGGTAGCAAAGTAATAATAGGTATTTAATTCAATGTGACTTAACAAATATTTATTTTCTGCAAAGTCCTATATTAATTAATGGAGTCACAAACATGGACATGATGCCACATAGAAATTGCTCTCAAGGAGTAGGGTGGGTTGTGGAAAAGAATGTGAAATAAGGGCAAAGGAAAGGTACATAATGAATTTAGGGTAAGACAAATCACCTCTATCCAGTGGTTCAAGGAAGTCATCATGGAGGAGTTATAAAAGCTGCATGTTGAAGGAAGGGAGAGACCCCAAAAAGGAAAAGTAGGAATAGTCAGGGGAAGAATAGATGTGCTATAAATGAGTGTGGCTAGAACACAGAATACCAAAAGGGGCATACATAGTAGACAATAAGAATGGAAAGGGAGTTTGGAACCATATTATACAAGGTCTTAAGTATGACATTCAGTACCAAAAAAATTTAATTGGTAGGAAATGGAAAATCCCTGATGATTTTTGAGTCAAAGTGTGACATGGACAAAATGATACATTGGAATTTCACCAATAAATTAAGAAACAATCAGTAATTTATTCATTTTCTATTGCCTTGGCTACTAGAGGTAGGTATTATGAGGGTGGAAGGAACAGAAATATAACAAATAATCCTTGATCTCTAGATGTTTACAGTCTATTTGTGGAGCCTAGACTTGGGAATGTGAAATGCTTATTGATGGCAAATAATATTCTAAGAACATAATGGCATCATAATTAGCACTAATCATACCTTTTCTCTATACATTATACACATGTAATTTGTGTACACACATGCATACATATATGTATACATTTGTATGTATTTAATTATAATTTTGGTCTACTTTCATTCTAAATTTGAGATTAAAATAAAGACATGGTATTAGCCTATGGCAGACTTTTTTTTAATGTTGCTGGAGTCAGGAAACCTGAATAAACTAAAAGTTGGAGTAGACGCTAGTCCCCTTTGTGACCTTGAATTTTTTCTCTTGATCCTTCTTCTACATGGGCCCAAGGACAGATTTCTTTAGAAGTTATTTCTAATAGCTCTTCATGGAGCAGGACGTAACCTAGCAGAATAATTTTCACTGAATAGGTATAGTTGGCAGTGCTAGTGGTAATAGTTCTGGTAGCAAGAGAAAAGACACAGGTGGCAATTCAACTAAGACAACAATCTTCCTTCTCAAAAGATTTTCCGCAGATGATGGCCAGAGATAGAAGGTGTGTCACAAATTTGGTAGCAAAAGTAAGAGGTCAAGATTCAAAAGGTAAAGCTGGCAAGTTCAATGTAATGTCAGATCGAAATCTAATAGTTAAATATCACATGGCTTTGAGTGCATAGAAAATATACACGTGTGTTTGTATGTATATATAATTTCCCATTTAATTTGCATAATGTGATAGCTAACAATGTCCCCAGCATTTGGTGTTAACTTTTGCTCCCTGGAAATTCCAAACAAACTTCAGTTCTGGACAACTCCATTTTAATGTCTGGCATTTCCTACCCAGGAAATAACTTCCTTCTCATGAAAATATATAAACCTCAAGTAACTTACTTTACCTATTTGGGCCTCAGTTTCCCCATGAATAAGACAAGGGTTAGACTAGATGATTCCCTAAAGTCTTTACCATCTCTAGATATTTTTGGTTATTTGGTGTAATAGTTTCAGTTTGCAAATAAGAAAGCTGAAGCTGTGGTCTGGCAACTGATTTTGGGGGGTGAGGGAAAGAGTAGGTGCTGGTAGCAAAATTAAAATACAGCTGGGGAAGGAGTTCAATACTGACAGAAAGGAGGGCATAATGGTGGTATCTGGCATGGTGATCCCATATAATTTGAGAACTGGAAAAGGTCTTAGAGATCATATATTACAATTCTGTTGCTGTTATTGTTGTTGTAACAGATGAGGAAACCATGAAAAGGTAAGTGATTTGTTTAAAGTTACATGGGTGGCAGATGGCAAAGCCAGGAGTTGAAGTCAAATCTTCAGGCTCTAATTCCGATTTACCACTTTACCACCAACTGAAGCTTCAGAAGCCACTGGTAGTTTTCAATGATTTAAGTGCATATTGGTTAAAGAGCATTTTATGTTTCATTTTGGAACATAAATCTTCATGGAAAATCTGTTTTCTAATAACATAATTATAAACTTGTTCAGAGCCTAATGCTGGGTGCATCCAATGAATATATGCAATAAATATGCATGGAAAAGGAAAGACCTATATGAATTTTAAGACAGTTGAGTGCCCAGGAAAGGATTTTGAAAACAAACGAAGAAATAAAAATGCTATATGACAGCTGCGTCATCTTATTAGATCACCTCTTTTTATTTTATTTTTATTTTAGTTTTGGAGGCAATCATGGTCACACAACTAGTAAGTGTCTGAGGCCAGATTTGAACTCAGGTCTTCCTAACTACAGGGCTGGTACTCTATCCCAAATAACTTCTTAATATAATTAAAAGAATTAATAAATAAAAGTACATTATGAACAATATTTTTGTTGTTGTTCAATTGTTTCTGATTCAGGGTTTTCTTGGTAAAGACACTGGGTTAGTTTGCCGTTTTCTTCTCCAGATTTTACACATGAGGAAACTGAGGCAAACAGCATTAAGTAAGTGACCCATCCAGAATCATACAGTTTGTTAGTGTCTGAAGTCAAATTCAGGTCTTCCTGACCAGTCCTGGTGCTCTATCCACTGCGCCACCTAGCTGCACCTATAAACAATTTTACCTAAATTCTTTCTTCCCTTTTTCAACCCTGCTACTATAATGAATTTTGAGTTTTCTTTTTATTTTCCAGAAATTTTACCTCCGTAACAATCTCTAAGACTGTAAACACAAGCTAAACAAATAAGCAAATAAACAGAATCATTATTCAGACATGCTTGATTTTGGAGAAGCTTAATCTGGGGATAAGAAAGTTTTTCAGGTTCTCTCTAAAGACTTCTGTACAAATACTTGCACAACCACATCTGGTATCTAGTCGTGGTAATGTGGATTTAAAAAACATTCACTATTTTACTAATATAAATAAATTATTGCTTTAATTTCTCATGAAGGTGAATATGATGATAAATGTCAGCAGCTATCATATTTTTCTCTCTCCTCTTCTCTCCTCTACTCTCTCCTCCTCTTCTCTTTCTTTCTTCTCACTTCTCCATCTTCTCCCCAACTCTTCCTTTCATTTTTCCTCTTTTCTCCCCTCTCAGAAATGCCAATTTTTCTGCACCTATAAGCCCTAGGGATGCCAAGTGAATACATATGCATTTTATTACATACACACACAAATCAAGAAGAATTCTAATTGTAAAAATTGACAATATTTAATTGAAATATATCTGATTTCTAACAATTTTCTGCAGTTTATAAACTCTCTGGACAAAATATATACCTATATATGCCTAAATGTCAGTTGAACTATTTTAGAAATGTATTTAAAATTTTAGAGAGACACAATTTTCATGGAAGAAAATTACAGCAATATCATTTACAGAAATACTGTACCTTTGTACAGTAAAATAATTTATTTTGTGTAGTCTTCTTTGCATTTAATTGTTAAGCAAGGGTGCTGGTATAGCCGAGTTGGGTTTTACTTTCCAATTATGTTTCCCCCAGATTTATTATCTACCAATCACTCCAAATGAAATTGGTATATGTATTTTCGGCTCGAATGTCAGTTCCCTTCACTAAAACATGAGTTTAAGATGTTAATCACTTTTTAATTATACAGTCACATAGATATAATATGAACCTTGTTTTAGATGTTTTTGTTTTTTTTTTTCTAGTTCCTAGGAAGAAAACCAACCAAATAACCAAACAAAAACCCCTACCCAATCCACAGCAACACAAAAGGGGTAGAAAAAAGTGATTTAACTAAATAAAATCAGGAAAGAGTCATGAAGCTGGTGTTTAAAGTTTGCTTCCTTACCTTATAGTCTCTTCTCCTCATTAGAGTATAAGGTGCCTGAGGTCAGAGACATTGTCATATTTTCTCAGTGAGGTAGTATAGTATAAGGTACAGAAGACTAATCTTCTAGACAGGAAACCTGATCTGAATTTTGGCTCTCATACTAGCTATGTGAATGAATGAATGAAAGAATGGTTGGATGAAAAATCATTTATTAAGCACATACTCATTCCCAAGCACTTACTCATTCCCAAGCACTGGAAACAGAAATACAAAAAGAAAGACTCCCTTATTCTGGAAGCTGAGCCTCACTTTTCTAACATGCAATATGGGGAAAATAAAACTTCTCATGCCTA